AAGATCATCTCCCAGTCGTCTCTTAGTCCCATCTTCCTAGCAAGGAGAGAGCCGCTACTGGTCACTCACCATCCAAGTACCAAAACACTTGCACTTAACTATCCAGTGTTGTGCCCTCCAGATGTTGGTCAACTCCCATCATCCCTGACCGTTGACTATACCCATTGTCACATAATTGATGGCCGCATAATTGGCTACCCCTGAACTAAGGAGAAAGAAGGCTGAGGCAGAACCAATTTCTTCCTTTCTCTCTCGGACTCAGCCTTCATCTCTCAGCACATGCTACTTTTGGGCATCTTCCTCTTTCCATGGAAGTACAGAATACACACTCTCCAAAATGATGAAATGTACATATTGTATATACTTAAGCAGTGTATACCAAGGACTGTAAATAATCATGTGTCCATTTTCATGGGAGATTCTGGTTGCAATCACTTGAAAGACCTGGAGTAACCTTATGTATCTTGAGATGCCAGTTAGAACAGGCTCTGGAGCGTTAGAAAGGCATAATAATAATAATAATAATAATAATAATAATAATAATAATAATTTATTATTTGTACCCCGCCCATCTGGCTGGGTTTCCCCAGCCACTCTGGGCGGCTTCCACAAAGACCAAAAATACACCAAGATGTCACACATTAAAAACTTCCCTGAACAGGGCTGCCTTAAGATGTCTTCTGAATATCAGGTAGTTGTTTATCTCTTTGACATCTGATGGGAGGGCATTCCACAGGGCGGACGCCACTACCAAGAAGGCCCTCTGCCTGGTTCCCTGTAGCTTTGCTTCTCGCAATGAGGGAACCGCCAGAAGGCCCTCAGTGCTGGACCTCAGTGTCCGGGCAGAAGAATTAAGGTTCTGTTGCTCTTCTCTGAAACCATCATGGAAAAATATATTAATATGCATAGATCAAAGGTGTAAAGTGGATGTGTGAATATAAATATATGGTTTGCAAGTATAGTATGTAAGTATGTAAAGTAAAGGTGAAAATAAAATCAGAAATGGTTGTAAGCGATGAAGATGAAGATTTTTAGAAATGCAATGAAATAATTAAGTTAAAAATTAAGGAAGTTGAGCCATGGTGGAGGGGGGCCATGGGGTGGGTAAGGTGTCTTGTTTTAGTTTGTATATGTACCATATGTGTCTCTGTGTGTATTTGTGGTATCTGTATGTCTTTGTTCATGAATTTTCCCCCCTCAATAAAACAAACAAACAAAACAAAATGATGAAATTGACATAAATGCTTCCTTGAATTTCCTGGACACACATGAAGGATTCTCTGTTTATACTTTCTGTTAAGGAACATGGGGCTAGAAACCAATATATTTTCATAAATGTCGATACCCAGGCTTCTAACCACTTCATCCCAGGAATGAAGGCTTCCTAAAGCAGGGGTCAGCAACCTTTTTCAGCCGTGGGCCAGTTCACCATCCCTCAGACCATGTGGGGGGCCGGACTATATTTAGAAAGAATTCCTATGCCCCACAAATAACCCAGACATGCATTTTAAATAAAAGCACACATTCTACTCATGTAAAAACACCAGGCAGGCCCCACAAATAACCCAGAAATGCATTTTAAATAAAAGGACACATTCTACTCATGTAAAAACACGCTGATTCCCAGACCGTCCGCAGGCCGGATTGAGAAGGCAATTGGGCCGGATCCGGCCCCCGGGCCTTAGGTTGCCTACCCCTGTCCTAAAGGAACACTACCAGTCACAATAAACTGAATCATAGCACACACTCTGCCCAAACAAATCAAAAGGCAAGTTTTGCAGGAGTAAAATTAGGATAACTTCTCAGCAGTTCATGATCATGAGCTTACAGAGATATCCCTGCACTCTGCAATTTGGGGCTGAAAGAAAAAGGGAAAAAACGCCACCCATACCTTCCACCTAGCAAAGGTTGGAAATCAAATCCATGCACATGGCTGAGCCAAATAGCGCTCCTAAGTCCTAAATTATCCAAGGCAGCTTCCATAATCTTTATGAAGGGAAATATTAAGTCTTCAAAGAAAGAAGGAATTTAAACAATCTCTGGTTCAAAGAAAATTGCCACATGCCGACAAACATTAAGAATGATAATATTTTCCTAAAACCCCTTTAAATCATTATGCAGCTTCTCTGCATTTCCTTTCCCATTGCCTCTCATTGAACACACACCCAGTAGGTGGAGGGAGCAGCAAGGCAACGGCAAATGGGGGGGAGGGAATTAAAACTGCTCCATTTTTCTCAGCACTTTTAGAGAGTGCATATGTTACGGCTTCAACCCCATTTCCCAGTGTACACTTTTCCCCAAATGAGCGCTATTCAGTCGTTAGTAATTACCCTAGAATCTGAAGAGAAAAGCAAGAAATCGCCCTTCTGATCAATTACTTCTGCCTCCCTGACATGATATTTGACTTTTAAAAAGGGGGTGGGGAGAGGGAGATCTTTTTGTCACTTCAGGACCCTTCACACATTATAAGTAAAAGTGTAGAGGGAGCAACTTGACCCTTCTGCAGGAACCACCTCTTTGCACCATCATAGCCTGTCCCAACTAATGTACACAAGTGTATGTGCCCATACACAGGGACGGAGGAAGGGGGTGAGGTGGGGGCGGGTCGCCCCGGTATCACCACTGAGGGGGGTGGCAAAATGCCGGGCGGCACTCACTGCGGGGCCTACAGCACACCCAAGCCACAGGAGAGATGTGGTGGCTTGGGCGCCCACAGACTCTGGGCTGCCCCAAACGATCCGCCCACTGCCTCCCCCTCAGCTGTAAGGGGATACTCCTCGGAGGCCCCGTGGAGTATCCTGCCCTGGCTGGCCTGCCCCGCAAGCAGTTGGCCCCGCCCTCGTGGGCAGCTTGCGCTGCCCCCTAGGGTACTTGGCCCCGCTTCTGTTTGACAAAGGGGTTGAAGCAGACCATTTGCTTCCAAACGGATGATATCTCCTTCACAATATCTCCTTTAGATTTTAGCACATCCTATAACGATGTGCTGGTCAGGGAGAAGAAGGAGGAGTCCCCCATCCTTTCAAAATGCTTTTGCCCTTTTGAATTTGGCTGGTGACATCCTCTCCTCTCTTTTTTGCTGAGTAGGCAAGAGCTACACGCTGAAAGGCATACAGTTATAAAACCATGGCAGCGTTTCGTTGTATGCCGGTCAGGCATGATCCTGCGAAAAGAAGCTTCCCAATCTATCGGAGGAATTCTCCCAGCCACAGCTGCAGACGCTTTCAAAGACAGAAAGCCCAGCTCCAGCCGTCCATCTGCACCCAATTTCGCAGTCCGAAAAGGGGCTCAGCTACCTTAGTGAGAGAATATACGACATTAAAGTGATGAAGAACAGAAGTGGTTCAGCAAAGATCAAAAAACTTACGTCGCTCTACCCTGACCCTTTTAAACATGGAGCATATTAAAGCAACCACATCAAAACAATGCAGAGATGATTAAGTTCAAGGTTAATGACAGAACAGTTTCGTTCTGAACTTTGTCCTTTTATTTATTTTTGTTTGTTTAAGGGGCAGCAGGAATTTATGGAAGAAAAAGGCAAACACCTGCCCTTAATAAACACAGGCATTATACACTCGGGCAAAGCTCTTGCCTCCCCGACACCCCACCCTCAAACCTGGGCCCACCACAAGTTGTGGGTTGATATCATGGCTATCTTAAAATAACATTAATTTGCTGGTCATGGCAACAGGGACGAGGACAAGAACTGGGAGATTGCTCTCACAGGGAAACAGAGGTGCAGTGTGGCTGTTCCAGAGCTTAGTTTGCGATGTGTATTGACTAAACAGCAGCCGATATGATGATAGAGTGGATGAGCATAACCTCAACTTCCTGCTACCTTCATATGCTGACCCCTTTCAGGTATTCCTAGGACTGTGGAAGAAGCACAGGAGCCCATGGATCACCTCTAACTTTGCTCACTCCACCCCCACTGTCCCATAATGCCCTGCTTTTTCCAGGCACAGGTTTGCACTTAAAAGGTCTGTGTCCGAGTATGTGTGAGGCTTTATTGCCCCAGAACTATCTCTGCAAAAACCCACTCATTAGTGTTCAATCAGAGCAAATGTCAATTGGGGTGCACGACCCTTAAATAAAAGGGACGCGGGTGGCACTGTGGGTTAAACCACAGAGCCTAGGACTTGCTGATCAGAAGGTCGGCGGTTCGAATCCCCACGACGGGGTGAGCTCCCGTTGCTCGGTCCCTGCTCCTGCCAACCTAGCATTTCGAAAGCACGTCAAAGTGCAAGTAGATAAATAGGTACCACTCTGGCGGGAAGGTAAACAGTGTTTCCGTGTGCTGCTCTGGTTCGCCAGAAGTGGCTTAGTCACGCTGCCCACTTGACCCGGAAGCTGTACGCCGGCTCCCTCGGCAAATAAAGCGAGATGAGCACCGCAACCCCAGAGTTGGCCACGACTGGACCTAATGGTCAGGGGCCCCTTTACCTTCTTACCCTTAAATAAACCCAGGGCTTTTTTCCCCGGCAGAACTCACCGGAAGTCCGTTCCAGCACCTCTCAGATGGGCACCATTGCCATTGCAGTCATACCTCGGTTTGAATGTGCTTCGGGATGAGCGCGTTCGAGTTGCGTTCTGCGGCAACCCGGAAGTAACAGAGCACGTTACTTCCGGGTTTCTCCGCTTGCGCATGCACAGACGCTCAAAATGACGTCACGTGCATGCACAGACGCGGCAAAAAGCGACACACGTGTGCACAGACGTGCCGTCGCTGGTTATGTTTGCTTCTAGATGCGAGCGGGGCTCCAGAACGGATCCTGTTCACATCTAGAGTTACCACTGTATAAGGGAACAAGGGTACATGTTCATGGTACATCTTGGCACCTATTTTTCTGGAAAAATAGTACTGAATAAAGCTGTTCCTGTTTGAGTTTATCTGAAATCTGCTTCTGAGAAAGGCAGCCCTGCTGTGCAGTATCCAGAATGGCCATGCTGTCTGAGAAGAAGAAGAAGAAGAAGAAGAAGAAGAAGAAGAAGAAGAAGAAGAAGTGGTGAGGGCGATCTGGCTGCGACATTTGTCACCCCATTGATTGCCAGGGTTGATTCAGCTGATCTGGCTTGCTAGTCAGGTGTCCCCTTCCTCCTTTACCACTACATGTGCGTCCCTCCCAAAGCTGTGCACTCGGTGGAAGAGGAGAACCATCCCAGATAGAAGGAGTGTAGTGTTCTTCGGTCAAGGGTATACGATAGGTGCGCTCCCCTGCTAGAATCTCCAAACAAGCTCAAGGTCCATTTGTAGGATAACGTAGGGTAGTCAAGCTTCCAAGACTCCAAGTAAGGCGCTGCTTGTGGCAGTTTGCCATTCTTTTTAAAAATAATAGTAGTAATAATAACATTTATTTGTTTGTTTATTTATTTATGCCTGCCCATCTGGCTGGGTTTCCCCAGCCACGCTGGGCGGCTCCCAACAGAATATTAAAATCACAATAAAACATCAAACATTAAAAACTCCCCTAAACAGGGTTGCCTTCAGATGTCTTCTAAAAGTCAGGCAGTTGTTTATTTCCTTGCCATCTGAAGGGAGGGTGCCACTACCGAGAAGCCCCTCTGCCTGGTTCCCCGTAACCTCACTTCTCACAGTGAGGAAACTGCCAGAAGGCCCTTGGTGCTGGACTTCAGTGTCTAGGCTGAACGGTGGGGGTAGAGACGCTCCTTCAGGTATACTGGGCTGAGGCCATTTTGGGCTTTAAAGGTTAGCACCAAGGCTGGTGAAAACTGATGTGATTTGTACCCTTTTACATCATTCAGCAGATGTACACAGATCATATTCTTCCGGATGATATTTCCATAATAATTTCCTTAACTTTGAAATGGCTAAACCGAGATTCAGGCCAATGGAAAGCTAAATCCACAGACAGGAAACCAATAATCTAATATCAACCAATGCTGAGACTTGGATATAGTAACCGAGGAACAGGATTCAGGCTGCCGCTGCAAAGTTTCTCATCGCCTCCCACCCGCTGATAAAAACCATCATCTAGAAGACTGTCATTTCTTACTGTGATAGGCATTTGTGGAATTCCACACTGAAGATTCCTCTGTACTAAAAGCAGCGTAAGCACTGAACATCCAAGCTGCTTTCATCCTGCATTTCTCACCAGAATAGAGCTGAGCTTAGTGAAGTTTTGGCTGGCAAATATAGCACTCATTATCAGCTGTAACGCTGCTGTACGTTCTGTGTAAAGGGAAAAAGGTTTTCTCAGAATAATGGCATGTACTTATGTTTTGCAACAATCAGTTCCCAGATACAAAAGCCTATGGGGAGGAAGATTCCTGGGATGTCTTGGACACCTGCCTGGAGGCAAAAGTCATGGAGCGTCAACTGAAAACGTTGAAGATATTGTTGACATTCTCAAATGAGATTGCGCAATGGATAATGAACTTCGTGCCTGTGCATGAATGAAGAGTTCTGGAAAGTGCAGGCTGATGTACAATGAAGGATAAGAACAACTCAAACCAACAGGTACAAAAGACATTTTAGTGAGCTGCATCAAGCTGAATTCCAGTGATGATTCAAGCAGAAAAGTTGTTCTTAGGGCAATTGTTCGACTTCTGTTTTCTATTCATGAAGGAAGCTACCACTTCCAAGAAAACCATCTACAGTGGCAGCTGACCCAGGTTAGCAAGACAACAACTACAGTCGTACCTCGGGTTAAGTACTTAATTCATTCCGGAGGTCCGTTCTTAACCTGAAACTGTTCTTAACCTGAAGCACCACTTTAGCTAATGGGGCCTCCTGCTGCTGCCGCGCCGCCAGAGCACAATTTCTGTTCTCATCCTGAAGCAAAGTTCTTAACCTGAAGCACTATTTCTGGGTTAGTGGAGTCTGTAACCTGAAGCGTATGTAACCTGAAGCGTATGTAACCTGAGGTACCACTGTAAGTACAGTGAGAACTGTGTTCCATATAGACACAGCCATTTGGACACATACCCATTGTAACCACCATACGCCAACTATATTCTCAAGCCACCTATCAAACTATACATGGTTGGCATATATCTGTCTTGAGAGACAATGGAGTGTGTCACCAGGGGTGAAGTCAAACTGCTGCGTTGGCAATACCAAAGTGATCTCTCTTGGGGCACAAGCCCGGGCAGTGTGTATGGAGGTCCTGGGCTGCCCAGACGTCAAGACCCCCTTCTTGTCTTCGCTAATGTGGTCCAAAGGAAAGCAGAGCAATACATTTAGCACCAGCTTGACTGCAGGTGTTGCCAGAAGGAGACATACAAGGTACCATCCAACTGTCTTAGGGAATCCACTCTGGGTCCACTCCTCCACCTTTTCTTTCCCTGAAGATATCCTGCAAGACAGCCCAATCTTCCCCTTACTTCCAGTTACATCATGTGTAGAAAGCTGCCTTCTTGAATGTTGGACCCACTAATTGGGCTCGACCGCCCAATCCACTGGAGCCTCTTTTCGTCTTACGTATTGAAGTTCTCACCCTGGCCACCAGGGGTATTGTATATATAGTTTTCACTCAGGTCCACATAAGTTAATTTAGGCGGGAAACCCTGGGTTACTTATGTTACAGTGTTGACAGCCGGCTGCCTATAAAAGCAGGCCAGCTGAGCTGTTTGCAGTTCAGTTCAGTTCCAGCTTACTATAAAGAACCACTTGGAGAAATTTCTGTGTCGACTGCTATGTCCACCCACAACTTACTATTTCGCATGCAGGGGAAGTCCCTAACTCACAGAGGGCTTGAGACCCATCAGCTCCCCATCACCTGGTTTAGCAGGCCAGTCGAAGCCATTCCTGGGGTGCGGCCACTATCATATGCTGACATAGGAGCCACAGGTGAGAGCTGAGTACAGGGTGGGGACCAAAGATGGACAAACTACCCCAGAAGGAGCACAATGCACCCCCCAACAGAGGTACTGATGCAGGCTAATAAACCGTTCTTTTTGTTAAGAGCGGTGGAGTGGATGGGGTGGGGCATAACCGGGCATCCCAGTTTATTTTTAAAGCTAGACACTCAAGAATCCCTTGCTCACCCAATGGCACTCAATTCTTGCCCCCAAAGCATGCCTTCACTTGTTCTTGGTTGCCATTTTGGCCTTTGTGAATTGCTGAAGAAAGAAATTCAGCCATTGGGCTGGATTCAACACCTGTGCTTACAGAAGCCAGCACAACCGGTCCCGCTAGTGTAATGCAACCCACCCCCCGCTTCCTTCGCCTGTGTCCTCTCCCGATTCCCTATTTAGGGGGCAGTCAGGAGAACCCCCAGAGCAGTATGCAGCAGGGAGGAGAGGAGCGATTGTTCCATCGGGCAAGCAGAAAGGATTGCACTGATGGAATGTTCATAACAGCACCACATTAAATTCCCCCTGAGAACGGTTCTTTACCCGCTCTCACGATTCAGACTTGGCAGTGTGTAGATGTCACAGCCAAGGTACTGCTCTCAGATATGCCACAAAGGAGGCGACAAAGAAAGCGGGAGGTGGAAAGTTGCTGCTTTTGCAAAGCCACAAAAGGGGATTTATTTTTTGAGCATTTGCAGTAATAAAGCCAAATAGTTTTGGAGTCATTTCATTTTATTTATGACAATTTACGAATTGCTGCTTCCCGTAAACTATCTCAGAGCAACTTCACAGTGAAAACATCAACAATGAAGAACAATCCTCTATAGAAGAACAATTCCATATATGTACAGGCAATTGAAAACAATTTCATATATTCAAACAATTACAAATCCAATATAGATGCAGATCGGGATAAAGATAAAGAACTTGCTGAGATAATAAGAGAAAGTTTTCAGAGTGAACTTTATAGATCATTACATACTGATTATAGCAAGGCTTTTATATGCTTGAGCTTAGAATAATACCTGTAAAACAAATAAACTAGATATAATTAGGAAAATATGGGAGCAGTTAAACCTGATGAACAACTATGTTAAATAATAGAAAAACTATCAAAAGGAACTAGATAAATGGAGTTTATGTAAAGAGAAAATTAGGAATATCTATCAGAGTGGATTATTTACTACACAGAATAAGCTAGAAATTTTAATATAGTAGAGTTCTGTAAGTATGAGTAACAATAACTCAAGTATGAGTAACAATAACTTTCTAATTTAATAGTTTCATATACATTTCTTTTTCTAACAAAATAGTATTGTAAGGCTGTCTCGTTTTATTTTCATATTTTTTACAACAAAGTAAATTTAAAAAATATAAATGGTAGAAGGCAATGGTAAAGTATTGTTGATTAGATCAGGCCTAGAACACTGTAGGAAACTAGTTCATACAATGGAATAGTACTGATGTAAAAATTTCCCCAGCATCTGACCTGTATCAGGAAGCTTCATTCTGGAAGGACAGCCCCACGTAGAATGCATTGTGATAGGCAAGTCTCAGTATGGCAGTGACTGGATTTGTGAATTACCCAAGGTGTTGGGGGGCAGTCCTAACCTACCCTGTGGGGGTGTCATAAGGATAAAAACAGTGGCCTCAGTCAGCAGCAGAGCAAGCCGACCAGGTGCCTGGGGTGGCACACATGCCCTGCGCCCAGGGGTGGGGTGAGTTGGGGTAGGGTGCTCTGTGGGGCCTCCAAGGAGTCTGTCTGCCTCCTCTCACTCAGCTGCCCTACATCTGAGGGGGAGGCAGTGGGTGGACAGTTTGGGGCAGCGCGGAGCCTGCGGGCGCCAAAGCTGCTGCGTCACTCCCAGGAGAGATGCATGGCTCGGGCACGTTGCAGGCCCCACGGTGAGTGCTGCCCGCCATTTTGCCACCCCCCTCAGTGGTGACACCCGAGAGAGTCTGCCCCCACTGCACCCCCCTTCTTCCACCCCTGGCCTGAGCTCATTGGGAGGAAGTAAGGGTAAAGGGACCCCTGACCATTAGGTCCAGTCGTGACCGACTCTGGGGTCGCGGCGCTCATCTCGCTTTATTGGCCGAGGGAGCCGACGTGCAGCTTCCGGGTCATGTGGCCAGAATGACTAAGCCGTTTCTGGCGAACCAGAGCAGCACACGGAAACACCATTTACCTTCCCGCTGGAGCAGTACCTATTTATCTACTTGCACTTTGACGTGCTTTCGAACTGCTAGGTTGGCAGGAGCAGGGATGGAGCAACAGGAGCTCACCCCGTCACGGGGATTCGAACCGCTGACCTTCTGATCAGCAAGCCCTAGGCTCTGTGGTTTAACTCAGAGCGGCACCCATGTCCCATTGGGAGTACAAATGTAACAGCTAAATGGAAGCACCTCATAGATGAAAGCCTAAATGAGTCAAGGACTAGTGTGACTACACTTCCTGTAAATCTCAGGGCCTTAATTATCTCAGTCTCGTATCTGAATTAAGTTTCAATT